CGACGGAAGCCGAGCGACTTCAGCCACGGCACGCTGTGGCCACAAAGCCACGGCAGCCTGTGCCCAGGGACAGGTCAAGCATTTGGCAATGGGCCTGCTATAGCACTCCGAGTCCCACTCCGGCTCCTGCTCCTGCTGCCCTTCGGACTCCGCATCCCATTCTGCTGCTGCTGCGGCCACGGCCATGGCCACTGCTATACTACTACTGATACGACTAGTACAACGACGACGACCACCACCACCACCACCATCATCATGTCCACGACCGCCACAACGACCATGACCACGACCACCGCCACTGCCACTACCAACGGCACTTCGACTGCGACTCCGACTACCACTACGACTGCGACGACGACTACTACTGCTACTTGCACAGGGCAGAAGCAGCACAAAGTATTAACGACAATCATCATTATCATCATCATTTTTCCTCTTTCAGGGTAGGAACCCAAGAGAACACTAGAACCCAGTATGTGGCTACCCATGATTTGTTTGCGTGCCTCCTGCACTATTAAGACAGGTTGGTGGCATGCTGCGGCCAGAAGTGAAAACTAGTAGGAAAATGAGAATAGTACTCTGGACTTCGAATTTGATGATCGGTCAACGGAGCTAGAGCACAAGAAAGCTTCGGAAGGACAGACGAAAGGCCTTCTGGAGGCAGTAGAGGCGACGGTTGTCCAGCGTGAACCAGCGGTCCTGCTTCTAGCCAGAAGGGCTGCACTTTCAGAACCTGCTAGGCGCAATGGATGCTATTTGTCAAGACGTTACATGTTTCATTGATTCACCTCAGGTTTAATCTACATGATTGCCAAGTGCTCTGCATGAGCATATTGGAATCCGTGCAATAGTGGGAATGTTTCCGATCGCCGACTACGGCTGCAAACAACTTGAATGATGGTTGGAGCAGTGGTTCACGCACACATCACACTTCTTGTCAAAGCTTGTGTTGCAGCATGCCATCCCAGGCGGGCCAGTATCATTTAGGTGTGAGCGAGTGGGTACATGATTAAGTGAGTGAGCGAATGGGTGAGCCTCACAAAGGCCCGAGAGTTCGACCCCTTCTCTTGACTCCCCTGGCCAAGAACCTCTGCATCGATGAGTTCACCTCCTGTCTCTGCATCAATCAATGGCTTGCCTGGCCAGAGTCGCAGAAGCCGATAGGCGGCGCTCCCAAGGTACAGTATCGGACGGATGCCAAGAAGCAGTTGACAAGCATCCCGATGAGCCTGTCTCGTCTCGTAGCTTGCATCGCCACTTTAATACCTCCGAGCCGCAAAGAAACGAAAGTGGGGATCCTGGATGGACTCTGCAACATGAAGGGTCCCAGCAATGCGGCCTCAATCGGAGGGAATGGTGCCTTCAGCAGCCATACCTGCGATATTGGCACTCTCCAAAGTCGGGAACGTGAGAAGGCTTATAAACCTCGCGACAGCGTCGAATCGCAAAAACTGACTGATGCCAAATCCACACCATTCTTTGTTCGACTATGCACCAGGCAACACATAATGTTTGATCGAAGTTCTCAACACAAACCTGGTCCATTGATGATTGTCTTTTCGTGTTAGGACGAAACGCTCGCTTCCGCACCATTGCAAATGCCGATTCGCACATGCTTGAAAATCCGGCATATCTCAGGCTGCAGCTGGCATGTCATCACGATCGGAAGTGCCCTGCGACTGCGAGAATCAACAAGTACAGAATCAGCATCGTGACCGTGTCGGCAGACGGGCTCAGACGAGGAGACCGAGTTTCCCATACCCAGTAGTAGGGACCGGATTGCAGTTTATCAAGGAACTGACCTGTTCACGATCGCTCGGGCGAATGCTGCGGAGTGTTGCAACAGTTGCGTCAGTGCGTGCCTCAAATGGAACGTGCTTGATCTGCTCGATGGCCTTCTCAAAGCAAGAATCAACTGTGAAAACGAAGCTTGAGACAGGAAGACAATTAATTCTTGCATTATCCCAACAAAAGTCTCAGCCGCCCGCTTCGACCAAAGAGCGCCCGTCCCGGAAATGTGGGTTCGCTCGCATCTGCGAAAAGTGCACCTGTTGATTTCAATCTGGCTAGATCGGTTTGTGAACTGCCCATTTACACATGCCACCTGTGTGCCGGCGCAACAGTCCCATCAATTTTGTTCATGTGACCTGGCTAAGTTGAACATAGCCCCACCCAAAATCTGACAAGCAACACCTCCAGTTCAAAGGTGAAATGCGCATTGAAGCATCAAGCCTCCAACGGTGCTAGCTGTGCATCAGCTACCGGAATGCGCTGACGCCTCACGAACATGTGTCATGCCAAGCAGAACTGCTTTGTCACCGACAACGTCTCGGTGTAGCATCGAACTGCATCATTCAATCAATTTCGGACAACGGCTGTTACAAAGAACGTCACTAAAAGAACATGCTGCTTATCTCATATGTTTTGCGAGGCCTCTCCTCCCGCTGTGCATCTTCGGCCCCCGAGTCCACCTTCCACAGCACAAGTCTGGTAACCCCCTGTTCACGCTGACCAGGCATGCTCCAGAGGTGCACTCAATTGCACACACTCACACCTACATGTGTTGAGATCACGCATATGCAAACGTGGTTCTTTTTTGACTTCGCAAAGAGCACGACCCGGGCGCTGTCGTTGGCTGCCTTAGGCTTGGCACGTCCATGCTTTCGCATCCAAGACCCCCTTGCAGGAAGCCTTTTCAAAGACGGCTCATTTGCAAAAGCCACCAAACCCGAGATGAAACACACTACGCATCACTGAGTATCTGTAGCCACAAGGAGAAGGATTGTAGGACTTTCCGAATGAAAACAAAATAAGGCCCACATCCGCCCGTTAGCACACAACAAGGCTCCGCCAAGCTCTGCGAGAACGCGGGGAGGCCCTGTTCCGCGTCGTGCCGATTGAAGCCTGGATGGGAAGGTAACAAAACGGATCTGAAAGATGCTCATGCATGCACGACTTCAACTAGATGCAACGCGCAGAGATCAGACCCAAGCTCGCTCAAAGTTTCAACACAATTTCGATGCTTACGGGCAAGATGGCAGCCTCAACTGTCCACTTTCCCAAACGAGAACAAAAGCAACATCCTGGGAAACAGATCCGCAGGTTTTGTCACACGATGTGATGTGAAGACAAAGCGATGGCTTCGAATCAATATGTCAGCAAGAGCAAGACCGGCAATGGTAGTTTGAGATGGCACACCAACCAGTGCACACGCGCAACGGTTTTGAAACACCATGCGCCTAAGCCGCCTCCAAAACACACAGGGCTGGCGCGGACCTCAGACGCGATGTATTTATGCCGTCGAGGTGACTTGAAAGACAACTGTATGAAAACTTCTCCCGAGACAAGCGCTGGCCGGACGAAAAGACGACGACATACCGGCCGATACAGCGATAGCAACCTTGGCTGCGGCAGCAGCTCAACGCTTGCAACATGAGTGCCGCAAAAACCGACGTCTTGCAGCTGGGCTTGCTGATGCTACCGCTGTCTGCGGTCGGCTCGCCTCGTGAAGCATATGACACATGACATTCCTCATGCGGTTTTCGTGCAAGGTACCCGTAAAGCATCAGGCCTTGTGGCAGCGCGGCCAACTCGGCCCGCAACCGGGCCAGCTCCAGCCGCAGCCTGGACAAACCATTCTCCAGGGCTTGCGCTGAACCTAACTTGTGTGTCATGGCCTCTCGCTGCGGGGTGGAGGAAGCCAGGACGCCGTGCGTCCCGGTATAGTCCACGTTATGTCCTGCTGCGATCTCATGAGATTTGTTTGCATTGCTCGGCAATCACCAACACAGCCAACGCCTCCAGCTGGAACATACCTCTGTCAGTCTGAAAGGTGCATCACATGCACAAATGAACTTATGTTGCAGGCTTTCACCTTCTAACAATAAACAAGAGACTGGTTTCACGCCGGTCCAAGGACGACGGTGGCGCGAGCTGTATTCCTCAGTTTGCTTGTATGACAAAACCTGTCAACTGTCTTAAAAGTCAGGGCCAATAGCATTATTGGGAACCCTGTACTCTCAACCGGGGCTCGCCTCCGGGTTGTGCCACGCGCGCAGGAGGCGAATCGAGGGCAGGAGGATTGCAGGGTTGTTGGAGCTTTCTGTCTGTGGTTCCAGCTGAGGATTTTAGCAGACGGTTCCCAACGCAACAAGCTCGGATTGCTTGCTGCTAAAGCAAGGGCTGCACTAGCAATGTAAGCAAGTTAGGCTTCAAGCCTCACAGCAACGGTCGTGGAAGTTTTCACTCATGCCCGTCATGCGCAAGGCTGCAGACCGATTCGCTCTCTGCCTGGGGACTATTCAAGAAATGCAAGAACCCCTCGTCGCCTCGCTGGCGGACTGGGCAACATCATCCATGACATGGATGCGGAGGCCGGCAGGGGGCAAGACAAGAATCCAGTCTGTGAAAGCTCAATATGGGACGGCGAATGCAAGAAGAATGGGGATGGCGTCTGTCCAATGTAGGTCGTGCAAAGGTTGGCTGTCGAAGGTTTCAACATCTTGCAATAGAAAGGGCTGTGGCTTTCCTACTTTGGAACCTGCTGTTTCATTCATCAAGCCTTGCAGCATAACATCTAGATCCATGCTGCTGGGCAAGGCAACTCTTGAAGAAGGCCGTATCAGCAGATGCACACGATTTTTTTCATTTCTTCTCCTTCTTCTTGGCGGTCCTGCTGGCCTCTTGCTCCTTGACCTGCAGACAGTGACAGGGAAGACCAACACGCTGTAGGTCCCGTTGGGTCAAGTCTGCCGCCCACCTTCTCTTGCAGCTTGTTGGCGAGTGCTCCTTCTCAAAGTGCGCAGCGGGCCAAGCCCAAAAAGGACAAAAGTGCAGGCCTACGGCCTAGGCCTAGTTTCAAAGAAGGCTGTCTACCTCAGACTAGTTTCAGAAGTTTGGCCAGCAGACGGAAGCATGTCACGAGGATTCCAAGCAAACTCAATCGATGTGCGCTGGCTGGATTGTAAAAATCACGACGCTCAGTAGATTGCATGCGGTATCTAAACATATTTGGAGAAAGAAGAGCTGCCACCTCGCCCGTCCCTGCCAGCAGACCGGTTCACCAAGCCGCTGCCGCGCGAACCCGCCTCGGTGCTTAGGACACAACAGGGGCGCAGTTTTGTCACGTTGCGGCTTTCTCCCTGAAGGGAGAACTTCTTGCTTGACAGTAGACCTAAGTTGGTCCCCAAGCCCAAGCCCCGCAGATGTACAGTCTTTGTCCTGATGCTCAAAGTCCCGAAGAGCCCTCGCCCTCCCAAGAGAGCCAAGCATAGCCAAGCGTCGGCGCAGGCCTCCTTCCACTTCTTCTGCTCCAAGCGCTGTGCCTGATCTCCACAACCATGCACCTCCGCCTGGCAGACCGCATGGGCGCATGGGCTCTGAAAGAGCTGCTGCTTGCATGGCCAGGCCTGAGCATGCTTGAGGCAGAAGCGGCTGCTGCAGAACTTGCACTTGGAGAGCCTCAGAATGACAATGAATGGGTTCTGGTCACCTGGGCTGACTTTGCTTGTGTTAGGAGCACGCAGTCTGAGCTCATGACACGTCCATGAGGGTGTTCGTCTTCTCCTCGCAAATTCTTCAGTGCAAGCCGTCTGTGAAGAGAGGCTACGCGGCACTATGCGGGCAACTCAAAACAGCGCTTTCACGACCTTTGGCCAGGTGCTGCTAAAGTCTGCTCATGATCCGTGGTCCTTGCAGTTGGCGAAACTGCAAATGCCCTCCTCAGCTAGCGCAAAGCTCGTTCGCTCAGACAGGCTTGCCCCTCCGTTCCTTCGAACCCAGGCTTGATTAAAATGTGGAGGAAACGGAATTCTTCCAACGCGGGCCTCCTTTGTGAATTCCGACAATAGCGCGTCCAAATCATCGTCATCAGTGGTGGCAGCCGCCTTTTTTGCAGACTTTTCCTTTTTGGCTGCCTGCGACACGGGAGGATGATTTTTGCCACGGTATGCAGATGTCAAACCAAATCAGGCCCTCAGATCCAACACTACCCAACTTCTTGTTTATTATGCCCTCTTTTCCTCTGGCATTTAGCCCAACACCCTACTTCGCCCTTCAAGATCGCCTGCTTGGCCACTTTGATGTCCTCAGTGAACCAGGACATGCCCCCAGATGCAGGCTCTCTCAAGACGCGAGCGTCCTAGGCATGCAGTACGAAGCCTGACATGCACATGCGACTGAAGGCGCTGCTGGACCTAGAAAATTGCCTGCAGACACCGGTATGCGATGCCAGAAAAGCAATCTGGCTTTGTCATGCTTCCTCCAGCTTTGGGAGTAGAAACCAATGCACACCAGGATCGGCATTGCTCTTCTCGATGTCCTTCTTCCGCTGTTCTGCCATGGCCAACTGGCGCTGTCTCCTCGAGATTGTAATAGACTGTCACAATGTCGTTTGCAGCGGCAGAGCGCATTTCATCAAAACCGGGCGTCACCCCAAAGACAGACTGCCGAGCCTTTCTTCGTGGAGGCTCGCCAACTGCGCATTGGCGGAGGCAGGCGCGGACTTGCCCTCCTAGAGCATCACACAGACTCTGATTCTGGCCTTGGGTGTTCAGGAGATGTTAAGGAGAGTGGGGGCATCTCAACGGTTTTGCACCAGCTTGCCAAAGGAGCCTGATGCCCAATGCTGCACGCCCTGTACACAACCTCCTCACACCATGATCGCTCATGCCATGGGCTGATGAGTGTTAACCATCTGCTAAAGTACAGCCAGCTTCGAAGCCTACTTGCAGAGGACGTAGTAGTTCCTGACATGGGAGCTGGATGACAGCTCCAGCACATGCAGATAGCTTGAGCTTGAGCCGTGGATTTGGTTGCCGTGAACTCCCAGAAGTCCGTAGGGCCGTAGGGATCCCCAAGGAAACATAACCACCACGATTCGGATGGCTCGAGGCCAAGTCTTCACCCCAAGAAATGCCACCCCAAGAGTGCTTCATCCCCAGCGCGGCCTCGGCACAAACGGCGGGCTTTGGTTGTGCGCCCGGCGGGCTCTTCTCTGTGGCGGTCTTCGCGGATTCAGGCAACGCCACCTCGTTTGGGATCACACGGGGCTGGGCCCTGATCATGTGCATTCTCTGACTTCGGGGCCGGCCGTGGGCCCTGCCTTCTGCTGCCAAGAAGCCTTCAGCTGAAGCCGTCGCTTCTTGCCACTGCCAGCCTCCAGAACCTCGAGCTGCAGATCGCCTGCCACGAACGAGGAAAACCACGGCATGAAAGCCACCCAGATCGCAACTCAGCACATAGGATTTATTCATATTCGGGAACAACTTACACCTATAGGCGCAGATGCAGCTCTTCCTCAACACGTAGCTGGGGAAGGAGTCATGTGCCGGGAGAAACTAGAGAGCAACATGCACAAACAGAAATGAAAGCTAGCCGCGGTCAGGGTGTGCTGGCCTGCAAGCCGCTGAAGAACTTCCACCTCAGGAAAGAGGCATCAAGCATTCCGGCGTCCCGCCCGTGCCTTCCGTCCAAAGGCGCTATGCCGCTATGCCATGCCTTCCGTCTCCAAGAAGCCTCCGAGAGCTTCCCTGCCTCCTCGTCTGTAGGGGACTTCCACTCTGCAACCGGCTGGCCCGGACCTGAGCTCAGCGCGCTTTCAGATACTTCGAAGCGTCGAGTGCGCACCTCTACACTCTAGACAAGACGAGTGTCCCAGCGAAGCCAGCAAGTCGCGGGCCCTCCGTTCGAAGGCCTCCAGTGCCGTCTCCTCCTCCACCGGAGCTGCAACATTCGCGGCGCTGGCATCGACACCTGAAACAGAGCGGGTCTCCTTGAGGCTCCCTTCCCCGTGCGCCCGTGCGCCCCACGCGGCGCCTGTTTGCACTTCACTGGCGCTGGTAGCGGGCTCTGGGAAGCTTGGCACGGGGCCGTCTTTGGACCACACCTGAAGCCGAGTCCGGTCTCTGCATCTTCAGGATCTTGCGTCAGTCAAAAGGCCAAGTGGAGGCCAAGAGACCACGAGGCGACGCTCGCTGCCTTCGCCTGCCAGAGTTCTGTTCTAGAATGTTCTGGATATCCATCAAAGGGCAGGAATGACACATTGCGCATTTCGGCACTCGTATCGAGGCTGGTGTCCGAGCCCTATCGCCAAGTGTCTGAACTTGTCAACCTCTACAGTGTCAGTGTCACCTGCACACCCTTTCCAAAAAACACAGGCATCCCTTCTGTTGAAAAGTCGAAGTCTATTGAAAAGGCACTGCTCTGGAGGTCACGAGCGATCTGAACAAAGGTCCCGTGCCTCTCGACTCGTGCATTAAGCCAAGCTCCTTGGCCACCTGCAGGTCACGAAAAGATCCAGCCGCAAGATGAGACTCTGCAAGCCTGAACTCCTACCATCACTTCCGAAACCTCGTGGGCTATAGCCCGCTCGTACGGATTCAGCTTGGCCGGCAGCTGAAGTGGCTGACCAGTGTCCTTTGAGAAGCAGGCGTTCTTGGGGCTGCATTTGAAGCTCTGTCGGATGGAGTGGCCGGTGTTCCGCACCACATGGAGTAAGTCCAGAGCATTGGAGTAATCTGTCAAAGAACGTCCCTGCTGCACATCGCAGCGACGATTTAGACGGAAAAGACTTGCTTAACTCAGACCAGCATCCAAAACATGACGCAGGCGCTTCTGGAACTGCTGTCGGAGCTTCTCCTCCTCTTGCGCCTTGTCGCGCAATTTCTCCTTTGACTTGTCCTGAGCTCTGCCCCAACGGAAGACGAGTTTAACTGCAAGTGGACACCGCACGCCAAGTCGGGTTCGGTAGAGAAAGATGCCCAATCGGCGCTTGCAATCTACGCCCATCTATGGCCTTGGAGATAAGAGCGTAGAGAGATGATTCTGCAAATCTGTTACCAGCGGGCATTCCAGCATTCCCTGCAGACATCCATCATGACCGAACAAGTGCGGTATAGCGGGAGCATACGTGTACTTCCAAAGGGTGGCATGCACCATGCTGCCGGGGTACAGATGTTCTGGCCAGGGCTTGCCGACGCTCTTCTTGCAAGGCAGCGGCTGTGCTGGGATCTGCTGGGATCCCACCTTGCTCGTCCAGCAGTTGCTGGACGAAGGCCACCCGGCCGTGATCACATGCATAGCCGTAGAGCGAACTGAGCACGTCATCGTTGCAGATCGTACTAGCATCGCCCACCAGCAAGACGTGCTTCCTTGCCCTGGTGACTGCAACATTCAAACGGCGATAGTCGGACAAGAAGCCAACGACTCCGTGCGTGTTTGAGCGCACTAGCGAGATCAGGACCACATCCGCTTCCTGGCCCTGGAATGAGTCGACCGTGTTGATGCGGGGAGTTACTCTCAAAGCCTCAACATCCGCATCCGCCGCGAAGTCCGCACGAAGCTGCTCGACTTGACGGTTGTATGGGGTTATTACCGTGAAGGCCTCAGGCCGCAGCCCCGCTCTCACCAGCATCTTTGCGTAGTGCACAACAAAGCGAGACTCTCCCGGATTGCATCTCGACTGCTGGATGTCAGAACGTGAGGCTTCCCCATCCTCTCGGTACATGCTCAGCCCGGCAGTGTCAACGAACAACATGGGCGCAGTGACCATTTCTAGGATCTCTGCGCTGATGTTCAAGGAAGGAACCTCCTGCAGACTCAGTGTCTGGCTCGCCACGGATGGCGCGGCTTCGAGACGCGAGCCGTAGAAGGACTGGGAGGACCAGCCCATGATCTTCTCGTTGGATCGATATTGGATGGACAGGAGGGAAGCCACGTCATCGCCGAAGCGGTCGATCAGCCGGCCGAAGAGTGTCTCATCTAGGCCTCAAAGCAGTGATAACGGCCGCTCGGCTCTTTCCCCGCCGGATCGCATCTCTTAAATCATGTCTTGGATCCAGGCCCTGCTGCTGGGCTTCCGTGGACTTCACGCAGGCCGCCAGCTGCTGGTGGTCACCCGCCAGTACCGCCTCCGAGTCTCAAGATGACCGCAGATGACCGCGTGGACGGTGAGCGCGCCTTCTTGCCCAGGAGCAAAGGGATCCAGCAGGCCACCTTGCAATGGAGCCGAACTCACGTCAGGCTGCAACTCTCCCAGGCTCTGACACTACGTGCACCTCCAGTGCCTGCGCCGCCTCATCGATAACCACGACGTCAAACCTTGCACCACGTGGTGGATCCCGAGGCTGTGTCATAAGCCCTATCTGGGCCATCAGAGCACTCCTGCAAACGGTCAAAGAACAATGCCACGACAGATGGCAACGGACCCGAGTGTTGTTGCCGGTATAGACAACGGTCAACATAGAATGCAGGAAAGACATGACGAGGCACCCGTCTGTGCTTCCAGACAGGATCAGACAGCGAAAAAGAAGACTGTGAGGATGCACAAGAGACCTGAATCGAAACACAGTGAAACAATCGTGATTGTTGAAGCATCATCGTGACAATGGTGACTGAAAAGCAGTTCCAACACGGCCCACTACCCATGTGCCGAACACCGACAGAATCCCTCACGAAAGCCACTCACCAATGATCCATAACAGCTAATCCGTGCCCAGGAGCTCTAAAGACGCCGCCGACCCAAGCCCACGCCTGAGTGCAGGAGGCGGAGGAGGAGTTCCCCCTGGCATTGAGTGTTTGCGAGAAGGAAGTCGTTCGACACTCATTGTGAGTCTGTGGCCACATTACGACATCCATGGGTTTCCAGCACTTCTTGAGAAAACATGATGCGGCTTTCTCGGTTCCGAAGCATAGGGGCTGCTAGGTTTCAGAAGCAACCGGCCGGTTCTCATTCAGAAGCATCACCATGCTGCGCACTCCGCTGTCGGATCGCTTAGTGTTCCAAGTTTTGCGATTTGGGTGTTCCGACATTCCGCCCCCCTCAAGCCTGCTGACATGGGCTTCAGGCTTCGGCTTGCTTCTTTGTGGCGTCCCGGTAGCCCTGCTTGTCAAAGTCTGTGCACAGTGATCCAAGCAGTCCTCAACTTCCTGCAATTCTAGCCCCAATGGCGCATCTGCGTGCAGGGACCTGATCTCTCGGTGTAGGACTGCTGCACCCGTGCACGTGGCGAAAACGACCTCGACATGGGCTCAAGATTCCAGGTGCTCCTGCTATACGTCGGTCTCGTCGAGAATGAAAAATCCTAGGCCCGATATACTGTAAAGCATGTCCGGCCGTGAATGTGGATAGAAACGTGTGACCATGCTGCGGTTCGGTGAACATGAAGCACAAACAGGCGGACAGCTTTGCAAAGACTCAAGGCCACTCACGGGAGCAACACATAGCAGAAAAGAAATCTGAAGTGGAGAATGGAAAATCCTAGAGCCTATCCAGAATGGCAACCATGATAACTCAAAAAAAACATTCCAGAACCTCAGCTCAGCTCTTGAAAGCCCCCTTTCGCCAAGAGCGCCTGTGTGGTGCGCAGGACCTCCGCCACTGCGCGGCGCTCGCGCTGGCGAAGCTCTGCTCGCAGCTCCTATGTTCCAAAGTGCGATTAGCTTCGATGAGCCACTTGCTTGGGCAACAAGGCGCAGAGCTAAGGGCAACAATTGGCACTTGGTGATGCTACTAACCAAAACGACGCGTGACTTGCGGGAGCTCCTTGAGGTTGCCAAAGGGCTTGCTTGGTGTCTGCGGCTTCTTGCTCCTCACCTTGCCCAAGATCTGGTCGATCTCCTCAAAGGCTACCGAAGCCGAGACGAAGACTTGAAGCAACCTCCCCACCCCCACCCCACCCCTCCTTCTTGATGTCGCGGCACAGTTCGGCCTGGTCGGATGCGTACACGACATTGTCCATGGTGAACTGCTGAATATTCTCCTGGAGCCACGCAGACACAGCCTGGAGAAAAACGGCGGCCCTAGAATGCCTAGAATGCCTGGCGGCCCTAGGCGTCCTGAACCCTTGCTGGATGCCCCAAGCGCACCAAGGATCGGCAGCCCGCATCGGCAAGACGCTCCAGAAGATTGTCGACCGCAACGTTTGAGGGGGCAGTCACCAGCAAGCGCTGCTTTCGGTAGACAGCCTCGAGAATGTAAGACACCAAAGTCGTGGTCTTTCCTGTCCCAGGTGGGCCATGAATCACAGCAACATCAGCGGCACGCAGAGCCTTGGTTACAGCTGTTTGTTGCGGCTCGTTCAAATTGCCGGTAGCACTGGCCAGAAATGTGCAATCGATCGCGTCGGTGCGTGCAACATTGTCCTCCGACTTTGCTTCGTAGAAGCGGGGCTTCGCATCGCCGAAGCAGACACCCACCAGGGAAGAGGCCGGACTGCTGCGCGCTCTTCCGCCCTTCAGCATATCCAAGGCCTCCTTGTAGCGCTTCAGGGTCACGTCCGAAGAAACCAGCGCGAGATTCAAGAGTCGTCCGTCCAGAACATCTACGGGGATGTCTCCATCAAATGCCAGCTGGATTGTGTCCGGCCGTATACGAGTGGCCACGGCTGATGCTAAAGGCACCGCCTTTGAAAGCGGCCGGCTTCCCTGATCGAAAATCCCAACAATGTCTCCGTGGCTGATCTTGTGCGAATTCAAGTCCCCTGTCGCCCGCTCCAGTGTCAGACATGCACGTCCGTACAGAGCGGTAGATTGTTCCGCCACGCGCAACTTGAGAACTGCCAGCCCTCTTGACTGCAGCTCTGCTTGAGAACAAGACAACAGCAATTCCTCAGAGTGGAAGACATCAGGCATTACTTGCAAATACATGCATGCAACTATATGCCTGACTTACCGAGCACTCCTATCCTCAAACCCACCTCTCACAGTTCTCACAGCTTTGGTGCATTGGCGCCACAAAGCCAGCTGCTAAAATATGAGACAGGGAGCTGTCGTCTCCTCCTCTTCTGCAGCTTTTTCAAGGGCCAACACTCCCTCGCACCACGCAGCAAATGCCTCGGGATCTTCCCTCGGCGGTCGCTTCAGCTTTCCGGCCATGGCAGCCGCAACGGCCGTGGACGAAAGACTTCGCGGCTTCGAGAGTTCTAGATCCGCGGGGATATTTCGTAAGAGTTCCAAGTGAACCGAAGACAATATAACATGAAGACCGACAACCTTACAAGCGAAGCAGCGTGTGCTTGGCGCAGCTTTACCATCTAAGGTGCCTTTCTGGGAAAATCCTTGGTGCGATCCGGAGCATTGCAAAGTGCTGGCCCTCGTCAGCTGCACAGTCGATATTTGACGCAATTTTTCAGTGCTGTGAGTTTCGTGTCCAGTCCCGTGGGAAGGCAGAAGCCGCTCCGCGACTTTACACATCACCATGACCATCCCTCTTTCAAGGACAGGAGGTGACAGAGTCTGTTGAAAGTGGTATTGAAACTAGGTGGAGGTCATTAACTGGCGCTTTGGCCCAACTAAACAGCACAGGCAGTATTGCTGCATGTCATGTGTATGCTCCGTCGAATTCCCCTCCTGCTGCAATAGGCGCTTAAATCTTCGCCTTGCTGCATGTATTCATCAGCACATGTACAGCATGGCTTCAAACGGTCAGGTAGCAGAGTCATCACATGAATGAGCTCAGCAATCTGGTCCTGAGGCGGGAGAAGATTCAGGAACACTGCACGAGGCACCGGCCTTTCTTCGAGAGGAGCAGACAGATCCTGCGATGAACGCCGAACTTGTTGACTGGCACACAAGACCTGACAAAGCCATTGCTCGCTCAACCATGGCATATGTATTCAGCAAGTTTACTCCTCACGTGCCAAAACTGCAGGCCTGCGGCTTAGATGTCCACTTCACCGGCCACTTTGTGCATCTGCCAGTCAGCTTGAAGGTTAGAGGCAAGAAAGAATCAACACAAGGATAGCAACAAACCGATCCATAAAGCTCTGTGCACCCTCACACGAGCTGTAATCAGAAATCTTTCAGGTGGCTTCGTGCCAGAAGGCCAAGATCCAAACAAGGAGCCCAGCCCGCTGCGTAACGAAAACGCCAGATCTTCTACTGATTCGGGCAAAGCTAAATGTGAAAGACAAGCTGGGCAAGAGAGTCAGCGAACCGAAACTCAGTGCCTGAGCCTTCTTGTACACCTGCTTCGGAACCGGCACTTCGCTGACTTGCTGCATCATCTGGCACAGCCTGAGCCAGCATGCGCAAAAGTCCAGGACAGCCCGCGGCACTGACAGCCCGCGGCACTTCACAAACTGCGCACACTGCACGCACGCCACGCTCCGAAGCTTCAGCTGAGCTGGCCGGCGTTTGTGGGTACACGAAGACAGCTGCGCAGATGTCCTCGATGCCGGAACCCTCGATGCCGTAGAGTCTCCGCATCTGGTGACGACCCAGAGACAGGATGGAGGCAAAGGTGAGGTATGCAATCCAAGCGAAGCAGAACATCGCCTTGCCCTCCTTTGCGCCTGCAGCGTCCGCCTGGAACACCCACGAGACAATGTGCAGGATCACGAACGCCATGAAGAAGACGCCGAGCGTGGCGGTGAGCATGCCATGCAGGAATGCGCTGGTTCCTTCGCCCTTCTCGTACTTGGACATGGCCCTCATCGATCGATAGAAAACCAGGGGCGGTGCCAGTGCGCCCAAGACGAAGGTCCCACAGGTGTTCGCGGAGGGCAGTTTGGACCTTCCGAAGCTCAGCAAGAATTCGGGGGCATCGAAGATGCCGCCATACAGCGGCATCTTCCAGTCTGTTCTCTGGCCTCTCGGGGCGATCTCGCCGGCCTCGATTTTCAGTGCACGCCACAAGGAGGTGCACATCATCATCATGACAACGGTGAATGGAAGGCCCATGACAATGGAGACGGCCTGCAGCGCAGTCAGTGAGCTGAACCCACCAGACAATAAACAGGCAATAGCCACCGCGCCCTCTGTGAAGGCCCAGAAGACACGCTGCACCACATGCGCTTCGCGGCCATTGGCTGCAATCAAGTCCACCACCAGGGAGCCACTGTCGCTCGAAGTCACGAAATACAGGATCGTGGTGACGATGGACACGAAGGTGAGGGCCTGGCCCATGCCGTAATACTGGCCCATGAGGTCAAACCAGTATCCAGAGGAATCTCCGCCGGAGTACTTGCACACAGGACTCACGTTGATGTTCACGGCGTAAGCGGCAAAGGCCTCGCCGGGGATGCTGGCCGGCACATCGAAGCACTTGCCTGCCCCACTGGGCCGGAAGTTCGTGTCGGTGTGCAGGAAGTGGTCCGCGTTGCCGAACTCCGTGGTGCCGATGTTCTCCAACCAG